GCAGGAGGGCAGTGTGTTTGCTATAAAATACAGTCTCCATGGTTTGGCAGTCCTCAGGTTTGAGAAACTCACAGTCTTGCTTCTTCTGTAGAAAGGGAGTCACATGAATGCACTGACAATCCCCCCTTCCATCCAAAGTAGGCTAAAGGCACCAAGACACATGTCAGTCAAGGCAGCAAGGTAGAATGGGATAAATACACAGGGGAATAAGGGTCAGGAATCCTGGAATCTCCACCCGGCTCCACACAAATATGGTCTGACCCAGACAGGCTATTTCATCAACCAAGGCCCCAGAAATCTGTATTTTAAAACTCGCCAAGTGATTCTGTTGCAACCTGAAGTTTGAGAACCATTGGCTCAATATAATTTCTTCAAATTGCTTAGGACTCTGCATTTTGAAGCTCAGCTTCCCTTAAGGAGAGCTGAGCTCTGGTGGTGGTATTACTAATACCACCAGATTGACTACTGAATACGGCAGGATAGTACAGTTATTTGAGGCAAGGACTTCAGAGCCAGATATCCTGGGTTTGAATCCTAGCTCTGAAACTTAGTAGCTATGTGACCTTAGGCAAATGATTTAACTCCCCTTTGCCTCACGTTGCTCATCTGTAAAATGGTGATAAACAATGGTACCTACTTTATAGAACTGTGTGAGGATTAAATGAGTTAAGAAAGGCTGAATGCTTAGAATACTACCTGACACTTGGCAGTGCCAAGTAATAACTATTACTACTTTAAGTAATAACTATTACTACTTAGGCCTGGAGCTTTTTCCTTTCTATTTACTGTAGATTCTTTTAACTTATTGCCCATTAAAAAATATTTCTTCGGCACCTATCACAGGTCAGGTACCATGATCCCCTGTAATTCTCACCAGATTATCGAGAAAATATGTCTCACTTATATACCGGATAGTGACACAGCTGCTGCTTTGGTCTCTCTGTCTAAAGAACAAAGAATATTTTAGCACACCCTGAAGAGTTTGCTTCAAGTAAGAAGCAACTAGAAAAAATGCTTTGACCAACGTACAGGTACAGCAGAAGGAACAACGTCACCAATTTTGAGAGGGATAGGGATATCTGTCTCTTGTTCGCTGCTCTTTACTCAGGCTATAAACATACTTAAGTCTCCATCATCTGAAAAGAAGCTTCCTCGGTCCACTATCACCCATCTTCTTTGAACACTAGTTTTTTGGAAACTGTTCTATTAAAGGCCGACAGCAATTTCCTGACTGCTCCTGCCTGGTCCATTTCCCCTTCCTAAGGTATCTGTGGGTATAGAACACTTCCTCATCCTTTGTCTTCCATCACAACATCCTGTCTTGGTTTTCTTCCTGGCCTACATCTGAAAGTAAGTTCTTAGCTACACACGACTTCTCTCTCTTTCCTCAAATATATACCCCTTCTCTAGGATACTTATTTTCATCATTTTTGAGTCACGATGGACCCTTCCTTCTCCCTTTTGCCTCATAGGAATGGTATTCTTTCCCTTCCACGTATAAAGTTTACCAGCCCATACATACCTGGTTGTAAGCAGATGCCCCACTTTTGATCATATTCATAATTTAAGGTGGTTGCACACCATGGCCCACTGCGATCTCCATCACGAATGCACTCATGATGCCAGGTCCCATTAACTAAGAATGGAAATTCACAGGGTCTCCCATAGGAGTTCCCATCTCTAGTATAGATCTCTGTGGGTTGGGGAGAAAGTAGAGGAAAGAAGAGTTAAAAACTGGATAATCAGCTTTAGTTAACTAATTTCTAAAACTGTTTTGAAAGATTATGTTTTCACATGTATGAGAATATAGTATCTGGGTAGGCTGCACAGTGTGGAGATTCAGAGCATGGATGCTGGCTCCCCCCACTGATCATCTGTGTGTCTGTGGGCAACCTCTCCAACCTCTATCAGTCTCAGTTTCTGCATTTGCAAATTAGGAATAATGATATGGGGCTCATAGGGTTGTTCATGAGATTCTATGAGGTAATCTATGTAAAGCTTCATTAACTGTGATGCGATGAAGAGCTAAAAGATTCCAGCTTTACCAAGTAAGGATCAACTGACTACTGCGGGTAGCAGAGTACTTCACAGAAGGGGTGCCCCGCTTGAGATTAAACTTACACTCTATTTTCTTTAGTAAGAGTGAGGCTAGAAAAATACCTTGGAATCACTGAGGCGGGTTGTGGACTTTGAAACTAACTGTGCAGTTAGAGAGATGCACAAATAGCCCTGTTGTTTACAGCCTGGTGGTAGAACTGAGGCTGTGCATTTTGAGGAAGGAGGAGGAAGGGCTGCTGAGTCTCTCAGCAGTCTCTTGGAGAGGGCAGGACATGGTAATTCAGGTTATGAAAGAAGAACCAGCTTCAGCTAGGCAGTCATGGAACCAGCTGGTGACCAGCAAGGTAGGAGACCTAGCTTTTCCTTTTAACAATTTCCTCTGGTACACAGAGAGGAACTGAAAAATTATTTGAACCGCAAATATGTCTGGAAATGCTGGAGGAAGTGCTAAATACTTATGTTGATAACAGTTCTTTTGGAAAGGTGTCTTATAGAACAGCTAACCCTGTGACTATTTCGCTCACTTTTTTCCATAGCCTTAATTTGTTTCAAACCGTGGTTGTTACCAGATCAAATAATGACTATTAGGTAAAGCATAGTAATCAGATCTTAGCATCATTTACCAGGCTATTAGGGTCCCTCAAAATGTCTGATTTGCTTGAAAGTGTGCTTAAGGTAGAATTTCACTCCATATCCTTTATTATTCTCAAATGTTCATTTAACTTAAGTATGAGACTTAATTTGACAGTTTAGAATGTTTTACTTGGAAACAATCTTTTAAGGAACATTGGTTTTGTTTTCCTCTGACATATAAATGGTTTTGAACAGTGTACTTTTGTTAAAGAGTAATTTGACCTTATATTTTATAAGGATTCTGCTTATTAGCATGTTTTATTTTTAACCATACCAAAACTCCCAATAGCTTATGACCGATTTCTCTTCCCAAATTACAGCACTTAAAAGGAGAGTCCCTGAGCACAATGACTATCATTTGTAGAACCATCAGGGTTTTTTGGTAAAACCTTGTGTTTCTGTAATACAAAGTAGTTTCACTTGTTCTTTCCCATAAGCCCACAAGATCAGTAGGGCAAGTATTACACTTGTTTGTGAAATCCCCATTTTTGCAAAGTTAAGTGAAACATTCAGTCATTCAGCTGTGACAGGGATGAGAACTGACTCTCTGATTAGAGTCCCTGACATATAAGGACAACTTGTGACAACAATGGCTGCTTTCTCAGGTTCCAAGTTAGCGTTATAGCTCAAAGCTGGGCTTCAATTAAAACGCTCTCCTGTTCACAATATGCTTTGAAGAATGATAACATGGAACAACCACCAGAAGAGCAGCAGCTAAATTATGCTAACTACTCACTAAGAGTTTTTTTTTTGATAGATCTTTATTGGAGTATAATTGCTTCACAATACTGTGTTAGTTTTATTCTTGCACATTGTTCGATGCTACTGGACCTCTTAAGTCCCAAGCATCTCCCCAGAGACACAGGCTTTCTTGAGAAGAATCTTCTCTGAATGTATGAATTTATGGTGATGGCGGCCTTAAAACAACAGTTTATTCTACGATAGGCACAAATTTGTGAGATGAGATGCTTATATGGAAAACTAACTTTTTTTTTTTTTCTGGCCCCATGGCGCTCCATGTGGGATCTAGTTCCCCAACCAGGGATCGAACACGTGCCCCCTGCATTGGGAGCACGGAGTCTTAACCACTGGACTGCCAGGGAAGTCCTGGAAAACTAACATTAATCTCTTTGGTAACACAAGACAAAATAGTTTCAATGTTTAGAGAGCTTGGCAGGCTTCTGGGTTGCTCAGAATTTAGACACTTCTACAGCCACCCCTCCATTAAGTCTAATTCCTCTGCACGATTCACCAAACATTCAAAACTTGAAGAGTGCTAGTGAGGTCAAGATATCTTAATGATATAAATGCATACCTGGATGCTAGTCAAGAGCAATTTATTCATAAAATTTATACAGCTAAAATTTTTCTCTGAGAGAAACACGGCTCACACAGGATGGGGGTTGGGGAGAGAGGTAACCCAGGACACAATGACAGATAAATGTTCTTGTATCAGAGGTTAAAAAAAAAAAGAAATTATACAGCAAATGCCAAGGGAGAAATAAAGAAGCTAAATTTAGCCTTCCCTGGTGGCGCAGTGGTTGAGAGTCCGCCTGCCAATGCAGGGGACACGGGTTCATGCCCCGGTCCGGGAAGATCCCACAGGCCGCGGAGCAGCTGGGCCCGTGAGCCATGGCCGCTGAGCCTGCACGTCCGGAGCCTGTGCTCCGCAATGGGAGAGGCCACAACAGTGAGAGGCCCCCAAAAAAGAAGCTAAATTTGGGGAACACAATGCTGGTTTTGAGCCTTAGCTTTGCTGTAACAAACTGGGTTACCTTGAACTTCATTTTGTTGAACTCAGGTATCTTTCTTATTCTGTACAATTAGACAAGAAGGAGGGGGCAGGGACCAACATGAGGAGTCTGAGAGAGCAGTCCTAGAGGAAGTCCCTAACTTAAGACAGCAGTCTCCAACCCAAGAACAGGAAGGGACTGCATAAATTTAAAAGAGTAGAATTGCCAGGACTTAATATTTGATTGAATTTGAATGGTGGGAGAAGAAAGCAGGGCAACTCCAGAGTGACTTGTAGATTTCTGACATATGCAACTTCGATGGTACAAGTCACCTGGAGAGGAATGAAGAAGAGGCACGTTTGGCCCTGGCCTCTGTGCATGTTAAAACTCGAGGTATATGTTGATAAGTCAGGACTACATGCATCTTTTCTTAGAAATTTTTAAGTTTCTTATCTGGAAATTTAGTGTTCCAAATACTGTATTTGCTAAGGTCAAGAAACACTCTATGCCTGTGGGCTCTTGCTGGTGAGCACTGTTTAGCTTTCTCTGGGGTGACACCCTAGGTGGGTTCCTTTTGTTTGTTTTTTAATTAATTAATTTAATTTTTGTCTGTGTTGGGTCATCGTTGCTATGCACGGGCTTCCTCTAGTTGTGGCGAGCAGGGGCTACTCTTCATTGCGGTGCACGGGTTCTCATTGCAGTGGCTTCTCTTGTTGTTCTCATTGGCTCTAGGTGTGTGGGCTCAGTAGTTGTGGTTCGCGGGCTCTAGAGCACAGGCTCAGTAGTTGTGGCGCACAGGCTTAGTTGCTCCACGGCATGTGGGATCTTCCTGGACCAGGGCTCGAACCCGTGTCCCCTGTATTGACAGGCGAATTCTTGACCACTGTGCCACCATGGAAGTCCCCTAGGTGAGTTCTTAATCTTTTCTGTGCTACTGATCACTTTGGCAGCCATGTGAAGCACACGAGCCCCCTTCTCAGCAGAATATTATAAATGCATAAAATAAAACACATAGGATTACCAAGAAAACCAGTTATGTTGAAATAAAGGCATTTTGGGGACTGAGGGAATTTATAATTACAACTATGTCCCTCAAAAGAATTAGGAGCAGGAGACAGAAAGAGCCCTGCCAAGAAAATTATCTTTTCTAATGCTTGAACAAATAAAAGGAAACAAGTCAAGTCCAGTTCAAAAGGCAATTTGTTTGGTTCCGTGTTTTCTCTTAGCTGCCAAGTTACAGAAAGGCTTTTATAGCACAAAATTTAAGCTTGCCATTAGGTGGTATCCAGAAAGCAGTTGCTCTTTAAGGTTAGGAGGAAGGTGGCTAGCAGAAGCAGACTTTTCAACTACTTAAGGGTTGAGGACTGAAGAAAAGGAAACTCCCATCTCTGATTCTCTAATATTTCGCGTAACAGCAGAACCTGACATCTCAGAAGCTGCTGCATCTTCACTAGGAAACAAAAAGAGGTTCCCCTAGGAGAAAAAATTGTGCAGACAACAAGAAGAATGGGAGGCCAAATTTAGCTTAAGAGAAGAGGAAAATCTCTGTAGAGCTATGTAAATGTACAAAGACGAGCACAGACAATAGTTAAGACTTAGATAATTTTATATATATATATATATAAATATATATATATATATATATATATATACCAGCATTTGATGTAAGTTAGAGCAACATACTGAAAAAAAGATTTGCTTGGGTAATTTACATTTAGACGTTTAAAAGATGAATCTACTTTCTTTTTAAACTCAGAAATTTGTTATAACTGAGTCTCTAGACTCAAAACAAAGTTCATGATCAGCTCCCCCAAAGGCAACAAAGACAGTTTCAGACTTAACGATGGTTTGATTTATGATTTTTCGACTTTGCGATGGTGTGAAAGCGGTACTCATTCCATGGAAACCGTACTTTGAATTTGTTCTTTCCCTGGGCTATCAGTACATGGTACAATCCTCTCTCATGATGCTGGGCAGCAGCAGCCACAGCTCCCAGTCAGCCACACGGTCATGAAGGTAAACAGCTGACACACACCATTCTGTTTTTCACTTTCAGTACAGTATTCAATAAACTACATGAGATATTCAACACTTTATTATAAAATAAGCTTTGTAGTAGATGATTTTTCCCAACTGTAGGGTCATGTAAGTGTTCTGAGCACATTTAAGGTAGGCCAGGCTATGATGTTCATTACAAGTGTATTAAATGCATTTTTGACTTATGATATTTTCAACTTATGATGGGTTTATAGGGACATAACCCCATTGTTAGTGGAGGAAGATCTGTATTCATATACTTATTTTTGGAAGCAAGTGAGGAAAAAGTCCACTGTTAAAATGTTGAATCATAAATACAAACATCAAAGTGTGACAGCCATGCGAAAAATAAAAGTAAAGCCTGCAAGACTCTTAAAGTTTTTCCATTACATCCAAATCTGCAGACAAGAAGACATTCATTTCCTTTTTTTTCCCTTTCTCTTTCTTCTTTTTTAACTTAGAATAGTTCAACTTTACTAGATCATTTGACTCTTATCCTGTGTAGAGGACTTCCTGTTACTCTAACATTTCCTTTTCTCTGGAGTTCAGGATGTAATCATAGGAAGTACATATGCTCAGGCATCAGAGAGATTTCGAATCCCAGGGTGCCACAGAATGGCTGCGAGACCTCTGACAAGGCACCTAACCTCTCCTAGCCTTGCCTGTTAAAGGGAGCAAATGGCACTGACGTCAGTGTCTGGAACTAAACACCAGCTCACTCCCCTCACAAGTGTATGACTCTCCTTGTGGTCAGCGGTACATGTTCAAGGCCACTTTCACCAAATACAGCAGCAAGTGAGTCAAAGTGCCTTTCCAGTACTCACCATGGTAAGGCTGGGCACAGAGGTTTTCCTCTGAGCCTCCTTTTTTCCAGACATCAGATGAATTGGTACTTGCTATGGCGTGTCCACCCTTCAGTGTCAACCTGTACTGGGCAGCTCCGTACAGAGAGTGGTGCTCACATTTCCACCACAGCATGGCATTGGAGTCACAGCTGAACATTCTCAAGGAATCCACGGGTTTGGTAATGTCTAGGCCAAGGCACTTCTGGGATTGCAAATGAAAGAGTCGATGCTGGGACACCCACTTCCACAACATGTCCTTGGTTTCATCACAGTCCTTTGCTACTATCCAGTCATTCAGCGGCGTGATGCACTTGCCTGTGTTTTCATTAACGATGGTGAATGAATCATTACCTGAGACAAGACAGGCAGAAAAGACATTTCAGGATTCTGAATTATGTGCTTGATATGCCTTGGCCCCTGTTTGCTAAGGAGAGTCTGAGCGCCCCTGGACTGTTAACACCTTCCAAGCTGTATAAACTGTAATGTTCTACACAAGGTCGGAGGACAGTGAGAGCCAGAGAGGCAGTTCAGTGCTGTGTAAGAGCATGGGCTCTGGAGCCAGTCTGCCTGGGTTTATAGCTTGCCTCTGCTACTTATCGGCCATGTGATCAGGACGTTATTTACCTGCTGTGCCTCAGCTTCCTCCTTTGTAAAACAGTACCTCACAGGGTAGATGTGAGGATAAAATGAGCTCATACATGTAAAGCACTTAGAATAGTACACATACTTGTTATGACCATTCAGTGAACTATTTCTCCCCCTTATTTAATAAGATGAAGCAGCTCCTCAGTTTTCATCTTCTTTAAATAAGTGACCTGTAGTCAATGAAAAATATCCTGAGCTTATTCAGGACTGCAATTCTGTCTTGCTTACACTTTGGCTACTACAGCAGCGTAAATTATTATATGAAGAGGAAATGGTGGCCTGGGTTCTGACGGTAGGGGGACCCATGACAAGCTCCACTGTTGAACCTCCAGGAAGGTGACAGGATGCCCCTGGGGAGGGGATGTGGGGACTGACCAGCTGGATCGCCCGGGAAGGTCAAACCTGAGCTCCAGAAATCACCTGAGCCACAGGATTCAAGACCCAGTAGGTTTGGACAACGGGAAACTCAGAAGTAATCAGTGTGAGCTGAGGGCAAAGGGAGGGATCTCCCTGAATGCTTCCCTGGCAGTTTTGCATGAGCTGGGGAAGACCTCAGTACTGACAGAAACTGAATTTCTGTTAATCTGGTAGAATGGGACCTCAGAACAAAACTTAATTTGATTTTATGAAATTAAAGTAGTACACTGCTTCTTGCACACCTGAGTTTGTGGAGCAAGAGTCACATCTGTTACAGAAAACCACAATTGAACAATTTGGTCAGTGCTTTCACAAAGAAACATTTTCCAACAAAGAAACACTTTTAGAAGGTATAGCACAGAACCTCATGTTGGTGAGCTGAAATAGTTTAGACAGATGTAAGCAATCTTTGTCAATGAACCAAAGGGTCCAGCAGAAGGAGCTGTAAGATTTTAGTTCCCAAAAGGCACTTTCATTTTGATACCAGCCTCACATTCAGTGGTTTTACTAACACTAAACACCTTTTCTAGTAATAATTCACAGGCTTGCAGAGTTAAAAATTCTCACACTAAGGCCTTGAGGGGAAATTTCACCATGCAAATAACAACTATAAAATTAAGTCCAATTCCAGGTCTGAATTTTGGACGGAAGTTTTGTTTGTTTTAAATAGCAGTAGCAGGGGCTTCCCTGGTGGTGCAGTGGTTGAGAGTCCGCCTGCCGATGCAGGGGACACGGGTTCGTGTCCCGGTCCGGAAAGATCCCATGTGCCGCGGAGCGGCTGGGCCCGTGAGCCATGGCCGCTGAGCCTGTGCGTCCGGAGCCTGTGCTCCGCAACGGGAGAGGCCACAACAGTGAGAGGCCCGCGTAACGCAAAAAAAAAAAAAAAAAGCAGTAGCAGCACCAAGAGAAACAACAGGAACAACAAGAACAAAATCCTTTAAAACTTTATTTCTGCTTTCAAATTGGTATTTTAAAATACTGCCTAGGGTTGCAGCTAGATCTGTTTGGAGAGCAGCTTCCATCCCTCACTCTTCTTTCTGCCACTCTCTATTTTATGGGCACAGCTTGGAAGGATAGTTAACAAAAAAAAGGAAAAGGTACTATTTTAGAAGATTATCAGACCGTGATGTACCTCTTCCCCAACCTATTCCCTCTCACCTCTCCTGTGTTCCAAAGTATCAGGAATTACCGCAGAAAAATGAAGTCTGCTTCTGCAGGACAGTGGGAGGGGGCCACCCCTGCTGGAACCTTCCCCTCTCTTGCCCTATAATCTTCCTGCACTTTATAATCTTTCCTGGGCACTTTGCTCTGTGCCCTTTGACCCCAGCTTTGCCTACCTAGAATCTGGAGTTCTAGATTTTTCCAAGTTGTCTTTGCAGAATGCAATGGATTAGCTACAGCTCTCAGAATAGTGGAAAGAGCAGTGGAATAAGGAGTTAGGGTCCTAGACAGAAGACTTACCTCTGCTATTGGTTAGCTGGGAGACCTTGGGGAAGTCAATTAATCTCACCAGGGTCTCCTAATCTCCAAATGTAAGATGAAGGCAGTGGATATAAGAAATCTAAGTCACTTCCAGTACTAACATCCTATGCTTCTACTAACTGAGTTTTTCTAGCCTTGTAGGCTTTACAGGTCTGTGCTAAGTTCATTGCATATTGTTCTTAAAGAGATGTCCACAACTTTATTATGTCATGCTAGTAGAATTTTAGGTCATTTGAATTCCATCTGTATTGGGCATGTGCACTTAAGTGACAGTGCAGCTTTATAAGTACTCTTTAGAAGAGAAAAAAAATTTCACCTTTCCCATTTACTGTATGTTTAACTTTTAGGACACCCATAGGCTTAACAAGCTTGTAGGACCTCTGAAAGACTACAGGAGAGGTGTGGAGTAGCTACATTGAATAGGAATTGCCAAGCTTCTTACCTAATCACAAACATCTGTGATTACAGATACTTGCCTCATTCTAAATCTGTCTTTTAACCAAGTATGTAATATCAATGCTTGACACCTATAGTGATCACTTAGCAAATGCATTAATTATTGATATGATTTAAGGAAACTTGTTATTAGCCTTCATACATGATGTATGTGTAAGCATGCATACATAATACATAACCTAGGGAGAGTCTTGTACTCATGATGTTTCCCCTATATCTTTCTTTACCCTTAAGAAGAAGCGTTCAGTCTGCCCCAGTCTTGTGACCCTATTGGGAGGGTAGGTTGAAGAGTGGGAAGAAGAACTAAGAAAGTGTGAAAATAATTTATTTAGAAAATTTGTTTAATAAGCGTCTATGACATACATCAGAAATGTATTACACTTTGAAAAGGTGATTGCAGAGCAATTTATAAAACAGATTCTTTATTGATAGCCCTATATTGCATCTTGTTCACTTTATACTGGCCCTAAATGGAATTTTAACATTTACCTACAAATACAATATTGGGACAAGTCTAAAAGACAGAGGTTGATGAAAAGAAGCCTCAACACCTCTAGCAGCACTTTTTAATGTTTCGTTTTATATAAACATTTTACTGGTGTTTGAGAGGAAATGGCTATGTAGCATTATCATAATTGAAAATGAAGTTTTAGACCATCACAGGAAAACTATTTCTTATTGTCTGATTGTGAAGTAACTCCTTTGTTGCAAGCCCTAAACCAAAGAGTTCTGCACATTCCAAAGAGAAGCTGGACCTCAACATTTTGTAACCACAGACAAATGGAGAAGAGATGGCTTGGGAAGGCAAGAAGGATGAAGACTGCAGCTTTTTTTAGTTTCAGGGGAACTTCCACAGCCCACACTGCTAAGCATTTTGTGGAGCTGCTACCATGTGTGCACAGAGTGTACACTAGGAGAGACTCAGAAGTCTGGATTTGCCAGTTCAAAAACAGGTCCTCCCACACGCAGCAGCGGAGACCCAACTCAGCCAAAAATAAATAAATAAAGCCAAAACAAACAAACAAAAAACAGGTCCTGAAGTGACACCTGGGTCCACACCAGTGTACTAGCAGTCAGAAAGTCATGGGGTTCAGACTGGGTGGTGTGGGCTGGTGAGAACCTCACAAGTCCCTGAAGAATTAGTTTACTTCAAGCTGCTGGCTCTCCAAGGAGGCAAGAAAAGTTAACTAAGAAATTGGCATTTCCCCAAGGACACAGAGGTACTCGTCCAGCATCTGAGCAATGGAGAACACCTGTGCAAACCTAGCTGCGTACATGTGGAGTGCACGCCATCGCCAGCATCATGAAGCTGGCATACTGCCAACAAGCTACCCAAGTGGCTAGGGTTTCAAAATTCCAGCGCTTCCCTTAACAGCGCCACAAGTCTGGTCTGATGGTGTGTGTAAGCTGATCAGAGCAGCTGCTCAAGGTGGGAAAGGATGCAGGAAAACAAATACCTGCGAGGACCTAGTGCAGGAAGAACGGCATCAAGCTGGTGCTCTTTGCTTTGGGTTAATGAGAAAGGCCAGGGATTACAGAGACTGCAAAAATTAAGGAAGTCTTGAGTTCTATGGGGGAGACAAAACAGATAAGACCAAAGCAAATGTAGATGGAAACCAAGAGTATAGTGATTGAAAGGCTAGAGTGTTTTGACTATAGGTAGTCGCTGCGGTGAAAATTTTCTCCCTGGATTATGGGGCAGGCAGAATAGAATTCTCACAGCAGTAAAGGCCTTTTGGTAGTTTCCAACATGGAGGTTCAAAGAACACAGAAGTGTGAATCAGAACAGGGTCAACTAAAAAGTTCTTGATGTAGATAAGATGATGCCACTCATACTCTGAACAAACTATAACTCAGATAGTAACTTAGTTTAGCTGCAAAGAAAGTAAATGCCACAAGCAAACTGAAGCTTTTCAAAAACTCCCTCGACCATCTTTTACTTCCTCATCTAGACAAGATGACGGAAATGACAGGTAGGGACGGCTCACTGACTGCCAATTAAGCAGCCAGACTAAGAAACAAAATCCTCTGTGCACCTTTGGCCAAGGCAAAAAGAGAAACTAAAAGCATACTCCGGGTGCTGCGAAGGGGTTGGTGCGGCAAGCACTGCCCAGAGCATCAGCGAAGGGTGTCTGATCCTGGTCCTGCTTCTGAAGTGACAGGCAGGAGGTCTCCGGGCAAGCAACCTGAGCTCCACCGCGGGACCACCGGCCTCTGGGATAGGGCATGGGGCGGTCGTCTGGAGCTGATAAGCCAAGTAGGAGAAACGCTCGCTGCTCGAGGCACTGGGGGAGGGCATCATAACAGAGTCACGGCCATGGTCACTGTAGGAGACACGGCTTTTTGATGTGCACCGTGAGCACAGTGAAGTCAGGGAATCGTTACTCATTCTGGCACTGTGGGTGGAAAGCTCCCCTTGACATTGAGTGGCCAAGGTGACCAAGGGACAAAGGAGGGGCGAGATGGGCGGGATGGGGCTTGGGGGTGGTGGTGGTGTTAAGGAGCCCTATACTCTAGGGAAGCAAGATTTTAGAGGAGAGAGGACGAGGAAGGAGCGGAAGCCTCGTTCTTAAAAGACTCTGGGTGCCTCCCCTACGGTGGACTCCTCACCCTCGGCACGAGAAAAGCCCGGCGCTCCCACGCCCCACCCCGCCCTCCTCCGGTACCCCGGGGGTTAATGGAGCTGCTTCTCCCCGGACCTCCCTTCGACTCACTTGTCCGGCTCCAGCCCCGAGCAAAGCAGAGGTGACGTGACCCCGGAGCGCAGCCCTAACCCAAACTGAGGAGTCAGCCGGCCTGGCAACGTCGAGGTCCCTAGCCGGCCGGCGAGCGGACGCGCCCGCGGTTACCTGAGCGGCCAGAGGGCTCCACCAGACCGAAGCACGGGAGGAGCAGCACGAGCAGCTCCGCCGCACGGAGAGGGGTGGCCCAGAGCGTCCTCATCCTGAGCCGTCTCGGGCGGGTCAGTCGAATTCTCGGGGGCACTCAGCACCCAGCCCTCCCGGCGCGCGCAGTCAGCCCCGCCAGCGCCTTTGGCCCCTGGCTTCCCCGGGCGCCCCGGACCCGCCCCCGCCGCCCTCGGCCAATCGGATCAGCACGTCCTCGGTCCCAGGGCGTGGGGGGGGGCGGTGCGGATACAAGGCGGGAAGACGATGCGTAAGGAGCTTTGCGCACCTGCGAAGGGCGGCCCCGCGAGGAGGCGGGTGGTGAGCGCCAGGCCAGAGGGCAGAGCGCCACCCAGACTAACGGAAGAGGGGGTCCTGCGCCCTGCCGCTTCTTCAGTAAAGTTGAGGAGACGCGGCCCTTGCTGGGACTTGGCACTGCCCTGGTGGGTGTTCATTTTAGGACTTTGCTTTCTGCCTAGCCCCCCTCAGTCAGGCATGACTTCTTCCTTTTGCACGGTTGGCCTGGGAAGGCATCCACATCCCCTCGTACCCCAAAGAGGGAAATGTGCACCCATCCTGTTACAGCTGCGGTCGAGCCAAAGAATTCAGTCGTCCTTGGCAACGTCTTGGGTATTTTGATAGTGCAAACAAAGGTGAGGTAATGGCACCATGAGGTTTGACCCACAGTTGTTAAAGAATTAAAAGCAAGAGCTATTCGAGTGACCCTATGATACTTCCAAGGATGATTAGGCTTTATAACCATTTGGCTTTTGCAAGTAAGCTCTTTTCTTAATAATTAAACAGCAACAATAATAATCCAGTAGAAATGTGGAAGTCTGCATCCAAAACTGGTAATTGTGAGAGTAGAATTTATCCTCAGCCTGTGGGAACCGCCATCATTATAAATAGGGTGATCTAAGTTACCTGGATATGAATGTCCTATATTTTTAAACCCGTATTTACTGAGCACATGGTGTGTGCCGAGGATGGCCTCCCTCCCTCCCTACAGGGTGAATTCTTCCAGGAGGAGGTGAATAGGAAGTTTACCTTTTCTGATGCCAACCACCAAGACTTGGATGATGGCTCCCAAAGCTCCCTTGGCCCTGTTCTCTCCCCAGGCCCCTGCCTTTCGGTTCAGTGTATATCTTGAGCACCTGTCAGCACAGGAACTGGGCACTTCCCAGGATGAGATCAAAGGATGACACCCTGCCCTCTCCAGCTTACTGAGTACTGGGGGAGAGTGAGGCACACACAGTAAATCGGGGCAGAATGAATGGGGAGACTCCACAAAGCTTCAAGGAAGGCAACACCTCAACTGGACCTTGAAGAATGGGTAATGGGTAGGCATTTGACCAGGCACAGCTGGTGGGAGGAAAATACTGACAGAACAGAGGCAGGAAAAGGCAAAGCAGTGTCAGAAGACAGTCAAGAGTCCCGTGTGGCCACCCTGCAGGGTGCAGGTACGTGTTGAATGAAGCTGTTATGCAGGCCTAAGTGGAAATGACAGCAGAAAGGTGAGATGTGGCTATTTTGTGAACTGCCTTCAACATGATATTAAAGACTTTGACTTAATTCTGTAGGGAATGGGCAGTGGCAAGTTCTGGGTTAGACAATCTGCTACTGCTCTGATTCCCTCGACGTCTGTGGCTGCTTACCTTTCTGATCCTGCCCATCTTGGAGCTCCTTGACAGCAGTGATCTTTTCTTCTTCATTAACAGAACCAGGCCTGTCTCAGAATGACCTCTCGATAAATATTAGTTTACTTAATTAATGAGTGCCTAAAGCTGCTACCTTAGCCTAGGGCGGTATGAGCTCTAGCTTGCATTGTATTGCAATAGTTTCTCAATTAACCTCGCTGCCAACAGCTGTTAGCCTCTCAGGAAAAGTGAAGGCTTCTAAACATGGACTGAAACGCGCCGCCTTTCCTTCACTCACACCCTTTCAGTGCTACTTGCTTATAGCAGGGGTTCCTAAATGGGAGTTCAGGGGGATTGTGAACCCCTGAAATTGTATGCAGCTTTATGAATTCTCTTTCCTTTCTTTCTTTCTTTCTTCCTTCCTTCCCTCCCTCCCTTCTTTCTTTCTTTCTTTTCTTTTCTTTCTTTCTTTCTTCCTTCCTCTCTTTCTTTCTTTCTTTCTTTCTTTCTTTCTTTCGAGAAGGGGTCCAAGGCTTTCATGAGAGTCTCAAAGAAGGCCATTCCTTCAAAGAAGGAAGAAAATTCCATGTAAGATAAAGCAAGCCCCTCTACGACCCCACTCCTTGTCTTTAATTACTTTCCTGTGTCACTCCTTGATTCAAGCGACCTGTCTAAATGTCTTGCCTCTTCCTGTCTCTGCCCATATGTTTATATTTTCCCCTATTAAGAACTCCTCTTTTCTCCCATCCTTGTCTTAGTTCCACCTTTCCAGTTAAGGCCCTGCTCAAACCTCATATTTTATGTAAGATGTTTCTAAGACAGTCTCTAACCTTTGGGGATTCCAATCATTGGTAGAAGGTACATTCTGATGCCTTGGTAGTGCTACCTCCTGTGGCTATTTTTTCTGTAAGTACATGTGCATTGACATTCCACCTAGGTTATAGATCCTAAATAAATATTTATTGTCTATGGTGACAGTAGAAAGCAGTGTATCCTTTAAGCCTCAACTTGAATGTCACTTCCTCAAAGAAATCTTTCTTGACTCTGCAGGCTAGGTGAGCTTCCTCTGTGACAGGTTCTCAGTGCCTGCCACACTTTGTCTTGATAGCGCTTAGCACAGCTGGATTAAATAATTACGTACTTGCTCGTTTGTTGAATGTCTGTCTCCCTCCCCAGGCCATAGGACCCATGAATGTGGTGACTGTATCTCTTTTAGTCACTTCTATGTTCACAGTACCTAGCCCATGAGTTCCTGGATGAATAAAAGAATAAATACGTGGTAAATGCCTCATAAATGGTGCAGGCAACAGGAGGTCTAGGTATTTAAAAAGAGGGAGAAATCAGGGTGAAAGTGAGGGTCTACAGGCCTTGATCTTCCCAGACCAGGACATGAACCCGTGAGGCCTGCATTGGCAGGTGGATTCTTAACCACTGCACCACCAGGGAAGTCCCATTTCACTACTGTTTATTACTGTTACACTCACTGTGGAAACTGAAACAACACAGACAGTATCAACAACTTGACCATGGTCAGTAGCCATAAGTGAAGATACCAAGAATTTGCATGAGTGTGTGTGCTTGTTACTATTATTTTATTGCCAGTTACAATTAAGGAGAGGGAGTATGAACTTTTAGGACCTCTGAAGTCATGTTTTTTTTTTTCTTTTTTAACATCTTTATTGGAGTATAATTGCTTTACAATGGTGTGTTAGTTTCTGCTTTATAACAAAGTGAATCAGCTATACATAAACATATATCCCCATATCTCCTTCCTCTTGAGTCTCCCTCCCACCCTCCCTATCCCACCCCTCTAGGTGGTCACAAAGCACGGAGCTAATCTCCCTGTGCTAATGCAGTTGCTTCCCACTAGCTATCTATTTTACATTTGGTAGTGTATATATCTCCATGCCACTCTCTCACTTCATCCCAGCTTACCCCTCCCTCTCCCTGTGTCCTCAAGTCCATTCTCTACGTCTGAGTCTTTATTGCTGTCCTGCCCCTAGGTTCTTCAGAACCTTTTCTTTTTTTAGATCCCATATATATGTGTTAGCATAGGGTATTTGTTTTTCTCTTTCTGACTTACTTCACTCTGTTTGACAGACTATAGGTCCATCCACCTCACTACAAATAACTCAATTTCATTTCTTTTTATGGCTGAGTAATATTCTATTGTATATATGTTCCACATCTTCTTTATCCATTTCATCTGTCAATGGACACTTAGGTTGCCTCCATGTCCTGGCTATTGTAAATAGAGCTGCAATGAACATTGTGGTACATGACTTTTTTTTCTTTTTTTTTGCGGTACACGGGCCTCCCACTGCTGTGGCCTCTCCCGCCACAGAGCACAGGCTCCAGAGGCGCAGGCCCAGCGGCCACAGCCCATCGGCCCAGCCACTCCACAACATGTGGGATCCTCCCAGACCGGGGCATGAACCCGTGTCCCCTGCATCGGCAGGCAGACTCTCAACCACTGCACCACCAGGGAAGCCCCATGACTATTTTTGAATTATGGTTTTCTCAGGGTATAACCCAGAAGTGGGATTGCTGGGTCATATGGTAGTTCTGTTTTTAGTTTTTTAAGGAACCTCCATACTGTTCTCATAGTGGCTGCGTCAATTTACATTCCCACCAACAGTACAAGAGGGTTCCCTTTTCTCCACACCCTCTCCAGCATTTATCTTGGTAGATTTTTTCATGATTGCCATTCGGACCCGTGTGAAGTGATACCTCATTGAAGTTTTGACTTGCATTTCTCTAAGGATTAGGGATGTTGAGCATCCTTTCATGTGTTTGTTGGCAATCTGTATATCGTCTTTGGAGAAGTGTCTATTTAGGTCTTCTGCCCATTTTTGGATTGGGTTGTTTGTTTTTTTGATATTGAGCTGCATGAGCTGCTTGTATATTTTGGAGATTAATCCTTTGTCAGTTGCTTCGTTTGCAAATATTTTCTCCCATTCTGAGGGTTGTCTTTTCATCTTATTTATGGTTTCCTTTGCTGTGCAAAAGCTTTTAAGTCTCATTAGGTCCCATTTGTTTACTTTTGTTTTTATTTCCATTTCTCTAGGAGGTGGGTCAAAAAGGATCTTGCTGTGATTTATGTCATAGAGTGTTCTGCCTATGTTTTCCTCTAAGAGTTTTATAGTGTCTGGCCTTACATTTAGATCTTTAATCCATTTTGACTTTATTTCTGTGTGTGGGGTTAGGGAGTGTTCTAATTTCATTCTTTTACATGGAGCTGTCCAGTTTTCCCAGCACCACTTATTGAAGAGGCTGTCTTTCTCCAGTGTATATTCTTGCCTCCTTTATCAAAGGTAAGGTGACCATAGGTGCATGGGCTTATCTCCCGGCTTTCTATCCTATTCCATTGATTTATATTTTTGTTTTTGTGCCAGTACCGTACTGTCTTGATTGCTGTGGG